TTAGATGCCCTGTGGGTGCTGAAAACCAAACCTGGGTCCTCTGCAAAAGCAGCCAATGCTTTTAACTGCTGAGCCATCTCTCCAACCCCTCTTCAGTGTTTTGAAGGTTTCTTTTCTTTCTTTTTTTTTTTGGTCTTTTTGAGACAGGGTCTCCCAGTAGTCCCAGCTGGCCTGTAAACTCACTTTGTAGACCAGGCTGGCCTTGAACTACAGAGATCCGCCTGCTAAATTTTATGTGTATGCGTGTATTGCCTGCATGTAGGTAGGTGCACCCTAGTCATGAAGTCAGAAGACAGCGTCAGAGCCCCTGGAACTGGAGTTTATGGTTGGTTGTTAGTCATCATAAGGGTTACTGGGAATCGAACCGAGGTCCTCAGCAAGTGTAGCCAGTGCTCTTAACTGCTGAGCCACCTCTTCAGCCCTGTTTTGAAGTTTTCATTATAGAGGTCTTTTGCATCTTTGGTTAGGGTTATTCCAAGGATTTTTGGGGAGGGGGGGGCATTCTGTTTTTTTGTTTTTTGTGGGCTATTGCGAATGGGATTGTTAACCCTGATTTATTTTTTCAGTATGTTTGTAATTGCTACATAAGAATGCTACTGGTTTTTGTCTGTTAATTTTATAGCCTACAACTTTGTTCAAAGTGTTCATCAGTTCTAAGAGTTTTCTGGTGGAATCTTTAGGGTGTCTTAATGATAGAATTCTATCATCTGCAAGTAGAGATACTTCGACTTCTTTTCCTATTTGTATTCCTTTTATTTGCTTTTTCTTGTCTTACTGGTCTAGCTAAGACTGGCCAGTATTGTATTAAGAGGAGCGATAGTGGGCAGTCTTTGTCTTTTTCCTGCTTTTTAGTGGTAATGTTTTAAGTTTTCTCCATGTAATATGCTGGCTAAAAGCTTGTCTTTTCTATTTCTGGAACAGGTTGAGAAGCATTGGTGTTAGTTCTTTGAAAGTCTGGTAAAATGCATCAATGAATCCATTTGGGCCTGGACTTTTTTTTTAGTGCTTCAGTCTCACTGCTTGTTATAGATCTTTTTAAATGGTTTGTCTCATCATTAATTATGGTAGGTCATATGCATCTAGAAATTCATCCATTTCTTGTAGATTTTCCAATTTAGTGGAATTTTTTTTTTTAGGTAAGACCTAATAATTTTCTGAAATTCATTAGAAATTTTGTTGTAATGACTCCCTTTTCATTCCTAATTTCATTAGTTGGAGTCTTCTCTGTCTTTTTGTTGGTGAGTTTGTCTAAAGTTTATCTATATTGTTTATCTTTTCTAAGAACTCTTTATTTCATTGATTTTTTAAAAAAATATTGTTTATTATTGTTTCTTCCATTTTATTAATTTCCTCCCTGATCAGTCTACTGATTTAGAGTTTGGCTTGTTCTTTTTCCAAAGCTTTAAGGTGTGTCATTAAGTACCTATTTGAGGCCTGGTTTCTTTTTGTGTGAGTGTATTGTCTGAATGTATGCAAGTGCACCCATGTCGTGCAATGCCTGTAGAGGTCAGAAGAGGTTGTTGGATCCCCTGGAACTGGAATTACTGCCGGTTGTTATTAGCCGCCATGTGGGTGCTGGGAATTGAACCCGGGTCCTCTGCAAAAGCAGCAAGTACTGATTAACTGCGAGCCATCTCTCCAGCTTTCTGATTCCTTAATGCTCTAGAGCTATAAATTTCCCTCTAGAGACTGCTTTCATTGTATCCCAAGGGTTTGGTATGTTATGTTTTCATTTTCATTTGATTCTAGGAATATTTTTACTTCTTTCTTGATTTCTTCAAGGACCTATTCATTGTTTAGCTGTGTGTTAATTTCCATGAATTTGTATATGCTCTAGGGTTCCTTTTACTGTTGATTTGTAGTCTTATACCATTGTGAACAGATAGACTACAAGGAGTTATTTTGATTTCCCAATATTTATCAAGACTTGCTGTCATTATGAAGTGACTATCTTTTCTCCCTGGTTTTGGTTTAAAGTCTTTTGTCTGATGTCAAAACAGCAATACTTGCGTGTTTCCTAGGTCCATTTGCTTGGAACACCTTTTTCCATCCTTTTGTCCTAAAGTAGTGTCTGTCTTTTGTGGTGAGGGGCATTTATTACAGGCAGTAAATAGTTCCTGCTTTTTGATCCAATTTACTAGTCTGCCTTTGGTTGGGAATTAAGACCATTAATATTCAGAATTGTTATTGAAAGGTATGTATTGATTCCTGCCATTTGTTGATTGTTTTAGGTAGTGTTTCCCCCCTCCTTCCTCTCTTGTGTAACTGTTCTAGCATGTTTTCTTTCCTGGTTTCATGGATGATTTTCTCTCTTAGTCTGAAAGAGTCCTTCAAGCATCTTCTGTAGAGGTGGTTTAGTGGGTATAAAATCCTTTTGTCTATTTTATCATGGAAAGTTTTTATTTTTCCTCAACTTATGGCATATGGCTTTGCTGGGTATTGTACTCTTAGTTGGCAGTATTATCTTTTAGAACTTGAACTACATAGTTCTAGACCTTCCTGGCTTTTAAAGTTTCACTTGACAAATGTTGCTCTAATGGGCCTGCCTTTATATTCGACTGGATGTTTCTTTCTTGCTACTTTCAGTATATTCTGTGTTTAGTTTTTTGACTCTAGTATGAAGATGAGGATCTTCCCTGATCTTTGTTTAGTATCCTAATACCTCCTGTGTCTGGTTTGGCATCTCTTTTCCTAACTCTGGGAAATTTTGTTATAATTCTTTTTCTTTTTTTTTGTTTCTTTTTGGGTGTTATGAATCTTTTGAAGATGTTTTCTATGCTTTTAGAACTAGATTATTCTCCTTCATCTATGCCTCTAACTTGTAGAATTTGTTTTTCAGAGTGTCGTGTATATCTTACAATTCCTGCTTGTACCTTCTTATTTTATCCTTATCCTTTTTTGATTGTTTTAGTTTTTTGACCTTGTCTTCAAGCACAGATAATTCTGTCCTCAATCTGTTGTAGTACTGAGGCACACCACAGAGTGAGGTGGAGGTGGTTTTTTTTGCTTTGTGGGGTTTTTGTGGGTGTGTTTGTTTGTTTTGGTCTTTTTGAGACAGGATCTCCCTGTAGTTCCAGCTGGCCTAGAACTCACTATGTAAACCAGGCTGGCCTTGAACTCAAAGAGATCTGCCTGCCTCTGCCTTCCAAGTGCAGGGATTAAGGGGATGAGCCACCACACCTGGCCTCACAGTTTGTTTGTTTTTTACTTACTGTGTTTTTTTATTTCTAGCATTCCAGATTGAATTTTCTTTGGTAGTTTCCTTTGTTGACACATTCATTCGTGTTATCTATCACCTTAGTTTGTTCAGCTGTCTGTGTCTTTGAACATACTATATTGCGCTCGCTGGGATTCCATGTAGCCCATTCTTGCTAGATGCTATCACTGTAGAATTAATAATTTTGGGAGGCATTGTGTTGTCTTGGTTTTTCGTGTTTCTTATTGCTACGTTGGGAATTTTTTTTAGCTGGTGTGTGTCCTAGAACTCACTATGTAGACCAGGCTGGCCTGGAACTCACAAAGATCCACCTGCCTCTGCCTCCCAAGTGCTGGGATTAAAGTCAAGTGCCACCAGGCCCGGCCAAGTAGGATTTTTTTTTTTCAATGTGTACAAGTCTATTGCCTGCATGTATGTGCATGCACCCGTGTCCTGCAATGCCACAGAGGTTAGAAGAGAGCATCGATCCCCTGGAACTGGAGTTAAGGATGGTTCTTAGCCACCATGTGGGTTCTGGGAATCGAGCTCGGGTCCTTTGAAAAAGTAGTCAGTGCTCTTAATTGCTGAGCCATCTCTCTAGCCACTGTGAGTAGGCTATTAACTGTGAGAACTATGTAGATGTTACACTAATCAATTAATAACAGTAGCCTCCTTGGCTTCACTGTTAGAGGATAGGCAATGATCAAGAATAGTATGGAATATATTCAGATTTTAGTTAATAAGTAGTGTGAGGGGAGTAGATAAGATATAAGAATAAGGATTAAGCATTAGATAAACTCTGGAAAGGGGATTTTTAAAATTGAGGTATGTAAATTTAGATATCATTTAACTATAGATGTATCTGTAGACCATGCTGGTCTCAAACCAAAAAAAAAAAAAGATGAAAAAGAAGAGGAATGAGGGAAGAAGAAGAAAATACATAGAAATGAGGGGGGGCAGTATATAAGATGTGGCTGAATAGTAAAGAATGCCTTATAGTAAACCTGGTAGAAGACCAGTCAGCCAGGCGTGGTGTTGCGCATCTTTAATCCCAGCACTTGATTGGGAAGCAGAGGTAGACAGAGCTCTATGTGTTCAAGGCCAACCTGGTCTATATAGTGAGTTCTGGGCCCCTGGGACTACAGGGAGACCCTGTCTCAAAAAGACAAAAAAAAACAAACAAACCCACCAAGCAGTCCTAAAGCCTAACTTAGTAAAATACAAACACAACAAAGCCATTGTGAGACACACATGCAAGAATGGAAGTTAAATAATAGAAAATAAGAAATAAAACGTGTACTTATGAGATGAATTTATGCTATAGCTATACTGAGTTGAAAGGTAAAGTTCTCAGATCCGTCTGGCTGTGTGGAGGAGGGGAAAGTTGGAGCCATTGGTCTCTGAAGCCTCAGTGTTTGGGATTCTGGCATGGCGGGGAATGAGGGTGTAAGTCCTTTCTGGATAGTTCCCTCAGACCCCTGCACTCTGCTATGGCCTCTCTTAGTCCTGCAGACCCAGTGTATGTGAAAAGCAGCACTTCTCTTGCCTTATCATTCTATTACTGTGTATTGCTTCGGTTCTACAACATACTTCATATGTTTTGCTGTGCTAATGTTGAGAGAGAGAGAGAGAGAGAGAGTGTGTGTGTGTGTGTGTGTGTGTGTGATCTTGAATAATCTTTTTTATCAATTATCTTGACTGTCTTAATATGCCTTTTTGGTGTTGAGTGAAGAAGAACTAAAAGCTATATCCTCTAATTTGCCATCCTGTGGTCATCCATCTTGATACTTTCTTGTTCCCACAGCTTTTCCGACGTGTTGCAGCAGCTTTACCTGGAATGGAAAGCACACAGGATCGAAGCAGAGAAGACAGTATCCTTTTTGTTTCTTGCAGAAAATGTTACTGCCACTACTACTTTTTGGAGCCATACTTTGATGATTTATTAATTACTTGTTCTGGGACAAAACACCTGACAAAATATAGAAGGGTTTGTTTGGGCTCACAGTTTGATGTATAGTCCACTGGAAGCATGAGGCAGCTGGTCACATTGCATCTGTAGGCAGGAAGGAGAGATGAATACTGGCGTGTTGCTCTCCAGGACCCCAGCAATAGAATGATGCCACCCATATCCAGTGTGGAGCTTCCTACCTCAGACATTCCCAGAGGTTTATCTCCTAGATGTTGTAAGTTCAGTAAAGTTGACAATCAAAATTGGCTGTCACAGTTGGCTAATGAATATTGCCCTATTGCTTTCAACATCAAGGAATTGGTGGCTTAGATGCACAGAAACACAAAAGATTTCTATAGCAAATTAAATCTTATTATACAAATGCACCCTTCGTGGACTCCTTACTATAATAATTCAGATTTTGCTTGCTAACTTGCAGTTTTTTTTGTGGGTCCCAGGCTGGCCCCAAATTTCTGATCCTTCACCTTCCAACTAACTTCTGGATGTGTGCCGGCAACCAGCATATTCTTTATATAGTACTGGGGATTGAACCTAGGGCTTTCTGCCTACTTGGCAAGCACTTTGCCAGATGAGCTGCAACCCCACCCTGATTTGCTCCATTTTTTAATTTAAAAAAAAAAAAATGTAAATCCAGGCGTGGTAGCACACACCTGTAGTCCCAGCACTTGTGAGACAGAGGCAGGTGGATCTCTGTGAGTTCAAGGCCAGCATGGTCTACATAGTGAGTTCCGGGACAGCTGGGGCTACAGGGAGACCCTGCTTCAAAAAGAGGGGAAAAAAAAATTTATTTTTTAATGTATTATGAGTATTTTGCTTGTATATAAGTGCACCACATACATGCATTGCCCACAGAGGCCAGAAGAGGGTGTCAGATCCCCTGGAACTGGAGTTACATACAGTTGTTAGCTACCATGTGGGTGCTGGGAACTGAACCTGGGTCTTCAAGAGCAGTCAGTGCTTTTAGCCTCGGTGCCATCTCTTCCCTCCTCCCTCCTTTTAAGGATTTTTATTTATGTGTGGGTATAGATGTATGTTCAGGTACGCATGGCAGTGAGAAGAGGGTGTCAGATCCCTTGGAGCTGAAGTTACAAGTGGTTGTGAGCTGTCCGGCATGGATACTAGAATCTAAACTTGTGTCCTCTGGAAGAGCAGCAAGCATTCTTAACTCCTGAAACATACCTCTAGCTCTATCACTTGCTTTTAATAAGCAGAAAATTCTTATAATGCCAGTCTCCTGATTTGCCCCCCCCCTTGTTTTTTGTTGCTGTTTTGTTTTTGTTTTTGAGACAGTGTCTCTGCTGTAATCCCAACTGACCTGAAATTTACTATGTAGACCAGGCTGACCTCAAACTCACAGAGATCTGCCTGCCTCTGCCTCCCAAGTGCTGAGATTAAAGGAGTATCCCAACACAACCCGCCTGATTCTTCAGTTTTAGGTCCTTTGGGATTTTCCCCCAAAGTATATCATATTCTCTTTTCCTACTTTCTTTAATTGACACAGGAAGTAACTCAGAATGGAACTGTATAGTAGCCTCTTCATTTAGAAACAGTACATAAACATGTCTAATGATCAATGGCTTCTGAGGGTCTTCATTATAATTATCATCTAGGGTTTTTCAGTATGAAGACATTATTAAAGTTTCATGATACTGTATTCAGTTATTCTAAATGTTTTATATTTCCCAAGTCTTTTACTTTGGGGCCCGGGCCAGTGCTCTTTTTGAAATAAGGTCTCTCTGTAGCCCCAGCAACCTAGAATTTACCATGTAGGTGTAGGCCAGGCTGGTCTGAATCTCACAGAGATCCACCTGTCTCTGCCTCCTGAGTGCTAGGATTAAAGTTGTGTGCCATCACACCTGACCCAGGTCTTTTACTTTTAATGATATAATATATTCTTTTTTATTATTACTTTTTTATTTTTTATGTGTATGAGTGCATTGTCTGCATGTGTGTTAAGTGCATCCATGCCATGCAGTTCCCCTGGAACTGGAGTTACACACAGTTGTTAGCTGCCATGTGGGAAGAGCAGTCAATGTGCTTAACCTCTGGGCCACCTTTCCAGCCCCTTGGCATAATATAGTCTACTGAGTTGAAGTAACATTAATCTTCCTCTTACTTGAATTCTTTTGTTAGGGTATTGTCCTGGTTTGTTTCTCCATTGCTGTGACAAAACACTCTGACCAATACCAACTTGGGGAGGAAAGGGTTTATTTATCTTACATCTCCCAGGTCACAGTTCATCAGGGAGCCCAAGATAGGAACTCAGGGCAGAAACCTGGAGGCAGGAGCTAGAGCACAGACCATGGAGGAACACTGCTTACTGGCTTGCTCCCCTGGCCCCTGCTCAGCTTGCTCTCTTATCCAACACAGGCCCACCTGCCCAGGGGTGGCACTACCCACAGTGGGCTGGGCCCTCCCACATCACTCAACAATCAAGAAAATGTCCCACAGACATGGCCACAGGCCAGTCCAATAGAGGAAATTCCCCAATTGAGGTTCCCTCAACCCAGGTGTGTCAGTTGACACTAAAGCTGCCCAGCACAGGTATTGTCAGATTCATTACTTATAATTCTGTAAGGAATATCATTTTCTTAAATAGTTTTTGCTCTTATAGAATAATTCTCTTAGAGTCTGGTGAGTAGGGTTCGTATTTTCATTCAGAGTCTTGTATATAATAGATATAAATAAGCTTATTCCATTTGATCACCTGTGTTGTAGGTAGCTATCTAAGTAGCTATCTGAGTAGGTTCTGAAGTTAAATAGAAATACAAGGGGCTTGCCAGAGATGTCAGAGTTCAATAAGGCAGAATTGTACTTTCCCATTTATAACTCCTTAACTTTTGTTTCAGTGATTGACATAAAACTGGAAAAGCCTCAAGAGCAACCAATCAATGAAGGAGGCTGTTCCTGTTAATCCCCCTGGTATCTTTATCCCTTCTCCAGAAGCTCACTGCTTTGGCCCCCGTACTCTTTCATTGACTGCAGTGTGAATATTGGCTTGAACCTTTTCCCTTCAGTAATAACGTATTGCAATTCATCATTGCTGCCTGTCTCGTGGAGATGATCTATTAGCTTCACAAGCACAAAAAAGTCAGTGTCATTATTTATATTTTTTAAAAAGCCAAACAATTCCAGCATATTCCAGTGATAACTTTGAAGATTAGATACATATTCTTAACATTTTTTCCTTTTTTTAATGTTACGATAATGTACTTTAAAATGGTGAAAATCTCAGCAGTATGAGTGTGGCTTGCTTAAGGAACAATGTGTTCATAGCAGCATATGCCTACCTTCTTGCTACCTTCCAGCTTTCCTCACTTCTTCCTTCTCCCCTCCCCTGTTCATACCCTCCCACAAAACAAACAAGAGGTAGCAAACAGCAGTCCAGCCAAGCTTGTTGGAATTATCCATAGATTCTACAGATACCATTTGCTCCAGACCATGAGCCAAAATGTCCAAATTTTTTGGGGGGTGGGGGGGCGGGGCGGGGTCCTTTCTGAGACAGGGTCTCCCTATAGCCCCAACTGACTTGGCACTTGCTATGTAAACCAGGCTAGTCTCAATCTCACAGAGATCCACCTGGCTCTAAAATCTTTCTTGAGCACTGATATGAATTACTTAGACCTTCTCTGAGGTCAGAACTCAACTATTGCTATCATGGTGGGCAGTGCTTGAATGAGGAAAGGGTTCTGTTTATCTTCCAAATGACTCCTGATGAACTTACTGAGTACTTAAAAGTAAAGGAACGAAATACATTTCTGATGAAAACAGATGACCCTTTCACATGAGCTTTATTAGACTCTGAGAGAGAAAAATAACCAAGTGCTTTAGAACTGGTTTTAGTATTTATTTCTTCATGGTGAAGTCTTCATAGTTCTAATGAACAGTATCTCCCCAGATTTTTAAATTGTCAAAATATTTTTTGTTTTAAATCAATAACACCTTTTAAGCAATAGATTTCACTTGGGTTTTCTTTTTAAAAAATGCTATGTAGACAAGGCATTGTAAAAGTCAATTTCCTTTAAGAGCCAGCATAAGAATTAAAATTTGACAACATGATGAAAACTATATATAGTAGAAATAATGGTATCTAAAGCTTACCAACAAAAGAATCCTCACAGAATGGCAAACACTCTGCTCTGGACATTAGGTCAAATTTGAAGATGGAAAGGATTTCCTTATAAGCCCTAGAGGCAGATCAGAGAAAGCATGCATTAAGAGGGAAAGAGAATGCAAATAATGTCAATATTATGCAGATTTATGCCTTATTTTTTAGCATTTTTTAAATGTTGGGTCTTTCGGGCTGTTTTTGCTTTATATTAGATCTGTATAAATAGGTTAGTTACTTAGTGGTTTGGTTTTTGTATTTAAGGTACAACTAATCTTTGTCTTTGGTCTTATTTATTTCTTTTGCCTTTTTTTAACTTTCAATATTTTAGGTGTTTTGAATCTATTTAGAGCTTCATCACCATGGCAATATGTATTTCCCTTAAAACATTGCAAACAAATATACTAGGAGTGCACCCTTTAATCTTTACTAGTTATTGTGAGATTGCTGTGTAAGTTAATAAACACATCTGTAAATACATTGTTTGCAGGGGGAAAACTCTGGGTTATAGCGCAGAAGAACCTGCTGAATTTATGTTGTAAGCATTACTTAACACAGTTATATAAAGATGAAAAAACAAAATAACTTCATATTCCTCACTTCCTCATTGCAACAAAATCCTTAACTGGGAAAACCTTATTCCCCTCTTCCTCTTCCTCCTTCACTTCTCACTTACTGTCACCTTGTAATATTCAGAGAGCACTTGGATTATGGATCTGAATAGAGAAATGCTTTCAGATAATCATTAGCCCACATACCCTGTAACTTATACTCAAAAAATGGGATGGAGTTGTAAAGTGCATTTATAATACAATATTGTTGTTAAAAGCAAAGATTGACTCTTTTGTTTTATTTTGACATGGCATGTCCTGAAATAAATATCAGTTCAATACAGCAGATGGGTCATATTCTTTATTTGAAAGAAGTTGTGATTTCTGAAAAGGAGTGATTGTCTTTCTACACTGTTGCATTTGACTCTTTATGTTATCTTTGAAAGTAACCAGTGTGCTGCTTTTTTAATCTTGGTCTTTTTATTTAGCTACTGAAGGAGTGTGTTAGTCCAGATTTTAACAAAGACAGTCTTGCTGTCAAAATATATAAATAAAACACAAAAGACAACAATTACTGACTTGGTTTCCCATTCCTACCATTGTGTTGAATTAGCATATGCTTCTTCCTCCCTCCCTAGGTATAAAGGGAGCAAGAACAAATGTGAACAAAAACCATGGGTGAGTCAGAATTCTTTTCAGTTATTGAGGAAGTAGAAGAGGGGCTACAGTGGACATATAGCTATATACCACATGTAACATTTTGGTAGATATGAATGGTGGTCTCCTACAATTATAAAAGAACTAAAAAATTGATAACATAATATGATAGCACAAAACATCTCATTTGTCTATAATGATGCCAGTATAATCCTACGCTGTTGTCAATCATGAAAGTAGAGCACATAGAATATATGACTGCAATAATTGATGGTTTGTTTACTATTAAAATGTAGTCCTTCTTTTAAAAAAGTTATTACAAGGCCAGGCATGGTGGCACATGCCTGTAGTCCCAGGACTTGGGAGGCAGAGGCAGGTGGATCTCTGTGAGTTCAAGGCCAGTTTGGTCTACATAGTGAATTCCAGGCCAGCTGGGCTACAGGGAGACCCTGTTTCAAAAGACAAAAAGTTATTATGAGACAGTATGCCATAATGTCAGCATTAGCCTTACACAGCTGGTTACTGTGTCTCTTGACTGTATGTTCTCTCTGTTTGGTTTTTTTGAAACAGGGTCTCGTGTTATCCAGGCTGGCCACAAACTGGCTATATACGCTGATTCTCCTGCCTTTACCTCCCAAATGCTGGGATTACAGGTGCATACCACACAGCAGGCCTCAGAAGCAAGAATTTAAAGATGATGTAATAAGTAGTAAGGAGATTAAGTTATTAGCAATATAGAACAAGAATAAAACATTTAATAACCGAAAAATTGTGAAAATACAATAGTGTAAATGTTAGGATGGATTCCACTGACTTTGTGCTGGAACATTAAGAAACTAATTCATCAGGAAGCAATTAGAAAAGATGGTAATAGTATCAACTGACAACATCCAGTGGCAGTTCCACAAAGGAAAAACAGGAAAAGTTAAAGCACTTAAAACAGAATTTTTTTTTGTCTTTTTGAGACAGGGTCTCCCTGCAATCACAGCTGGCCTGGAACTTACTATATAGACCAGGCTAGCCTTGAACTCACAGAGATCTGCCTGCCTCTGCCTCCCAAGTGCTGGGACTATAGGCGTGCGCCACCACACCCATCCTGAAAACAGAATTTTGAATGTGGTGTTTTATGACTTAACATCTGCATATCTTCTGAATGCAGCTTTTGATCCTGATCCTTGACTCCTGGTAGGCATGTCCTTATAGCATCCCTCTTCCTTTGAGTATATGCTGGGCCACATCAAATATTAGATTCTTGAAAGAGTGGATTTTGGGGAAAAAAATGGGGAAGGTGGTAAAAGTATATATTCATACAAAGTAGTGTATTCGTGTGCACAGCAGCTGTACTTGTATCAGCTAAGAATTACACCCCAAATCCACATTAAAAAGTGAATGTGCAAACAACTTTCTTTGAGTATATGCTACTTATGTGAGTCTAGGAATATACCAAAAAACGATTGTATATCACATCAAAATAATGATTCTGAGTTGATTTTGCTGTATTTTTACTGTCTACAACTTTTTCGTTTTTAAGCATAGATGCAGGCAAAACATATACTTACTTTACATATAAAATAAAATTTAAAGCTGGGCATGGTGGTGCATACCTTTAGTCCTAGCACTCAGGAGGCAGAGGCAGCAGATTTCTGCAAGTTCAAGGCCAGCCTGGTCTACATAGTGAGTTCCAGGACAGCAGGGGCTGCAGGGAGACCCTGTCTCAAAAAGACCAAAAATAAAAATAAAATAAGCTTTAAGGGTCATGTGTCACTAAATTTTCTCCTTTCTGCTCTGTTTGACCTGCCCTCTCTCAGGGTCTCGTGCTCGAGTGGTTTATGTAATAGGGAGAGAGGACTCACAAAGAAACTGCACAGCACCGAGACACTTAGCAGCCGTTCTGCTCGCTTTCTCACCCCACCCAGAGTCTCCATTAGCTTTTGCCCATGCCCTGTGGGCCCTAGGTCTCACCCCAGGTCTGTAAATGCCCCATCTCACTTGCATGTTTGCAGGAGACTCCTGCCATTCGCCCTAGCTGCAACACACTTCCTTCTCCCATTCCAGTCTGCCTCCTGACTGTAGCAATATCTGTCATCTCTCCATTGACCATACCTGGATGCTGGGGGAGGCCCTGGTAGGAAAAACTGCCTACACCCCTAACCACCCCTGGGTCAGTTTTTGTCCTTTGAATACGTTTTGTAAACTGTTCCAGTTTTAAAGCCTTCCAGAAACTCAGTACCTAATTTGGTTTTCTATCAATTTTTTCTTTGGGAATTTGGGCTTGACATAAATCTTGCCACATTTGTCTTCGAGTAACCCAAATGGACCATTTCTTCTCTCTGGTCTTTTTTATATCTCTTATAGGTTGTTCTGTTTTTCTACAGACATATTTTACACGCTGGTTTGAGTCGCTTAGATCTGCTAAAGTCTCCCTCACTTTACAAAGATTCTGTCCCATTAAGGGACTTAGCTAAACCATTAAAGCTCCATACCATTCTCAAGGTCCCAATTGAATTAAGCTTTCCTTTATATCTCTGGTGAGCACAGCCCTATATGGCCCAGCAAACTGGGCATCATATATTGCCTACCTTATATCTAATTCTCTCAGTAACACCTGTCCCTCTCCTATGGTCCTCCAGTCCCTGCTAATAATGGGAGTTTCCATTGGTCATGACCACATAGTTTTAATGCCTTGCACAAGTCATTCCATTAGGGACTGTTCCGCCCTGTATTGGCCTAGGTTAAACAGCCTATGTCTCAAGCACGAACGGGTGGTTATATAACTCAGCTGTGATGCTTCTGAAGGACTTAAACTGACATTATTTTCTCCCATGTCCCATACCCTCGTGAAACACATGGTGAGGGGCTCTTTAATTGCTTGTTTGAAAGCCTTTCTTAGTCCCAACACTCCAGTGTGGAGTATTTTCCTTCTAGCTACAGTACTGTTAACTCTTTTCTCTTTTTGCATCAAAGGTTGAATCTGAGGGGCAGCTTCAGCTCCTTTTATTTCTAGGTCATTTCTTGTCACTTTACTATCTGTCTTTTTTCTTGGATCCTTTCACTACTGGTCCCCTAACCTTATGCAAGTTAAAAATCTCCCATTTTCTCTCTCAAGCTCTGAGGCTGAGACTGAATTTGCCAGGAACTCCTTAGACTTTTCAGCCTCTACTGGGGCTGCTTTTGCCTTGGACAAACCTTTTATTATGCAAAGAAGTGGCCATGCCCCCTTTCTGGATTTCCCTTCTGCTTCCAGGCCCTGTAAAATTTTGTCTAGGCTCTCCATAAGACTTAGGAAATTTTCAGACACACATAGTGGCGGCCACCACTTCTCAAGCAATTGAGCTATTTCTAACATTTGCAGGATGGCTGAAACTTGGGGATTTCTCCCTTTAAGTCCGTCTGCATCTGTGTGACCCACGTCATTTTAGTTACATATTTCACAGTCCATTGCATAACCCATGTGACTGCTGCTAACCCCCTTGCTTTTCCCAAACTCCTGTGGTTTGTCGTTTCCAGTGTCATCCTGCTGGGCTGTGCCAATTTGTTGCACTAAATTTTCCCCTTCCCCCGGGAGACCTGAGCTCACTCAGGGTTTTGTGGTTCTAACTCAGATTGACAAAGTCGACATGCTACATTCTG